ATGCAAAGAGAAACTCCACGAACAACACATACTACTCGCGTGCCTCCTCATCAGCAGTATCACCGTTACAACGGTTGTTTAAGGAAACCCGTTGGGGCTGAGCTAGTGATGTGCTCAAAGAAAACTGGACTCACCGGAATAATTAGGCCAGAAGAGGAACACGGCCGTTCAAACGAGAATGGTGTGGCTATGAACAAATCTGGAAACGTAGTTTTAGGGTTATCCGGGGTATACCCTAAGTAGCAGTCAGTGGATGTCGATTGTGGGCAATAAAATGCCATTCTGTTCGAAATTCTGTGCCATTCGAACGATTCCGTTCAATCTAAATTCGTACGTGAATATATACCTAATTATGTTTTGGAACAGGTTAGGTTGATCGTGCTAGTACAAAAGTGGGAGTACTTGATTATTACGCCATTTACACACGTCACATCACTGATTGCTGAGTCCCCATATTCTGTCTAGATAAGATCCCCGTTTTTATCCGTGGCGTTCTGAGGCCTTGTTACTTCTCCCCATCAGTCAACGTAGTCACTTGGACATAAAACTTCAACCAAAGTATGGTGGCTCCATTTGTTGCAGTTTCATCAACCGAGGGTGGATGATAAAACTATTCTGGGCCACACACAATAAATGCAATGGTCTTGCAAATTCCATGGCGTAGGCAGTTTCTGTCTGTCTTACATGACGAGAGCTACGAATTGAATGCAATGGCTTTGATAGAACGTTTTTATTGATTGTTTTCTATAAGTTCACCTGACGCGATCAATGGACATTGCTTTGTTCCGTCTGAAAGCCCAAACCTTGGATGATAATTGCATTCGCGTCTCGTTGACAAGCAGTGGGCCTAACAACCCTGGGTCTTCTCCGCTCCACATTTGGCTAGGCGAGGAGGGTTCTACGAATCAAACGTCCCTCTAGCATGCAAAGCGCATTGGCTATCGAGCGTAGCTCGTCGACTGTGGCCAGCTAAAATCAACGAGGGAGAGTGAACTTTCCAGAAAATAGTCTAGCCCACATCGGACGGATTAATGTCGTTCTCCCACCAGTACATGTAGGTAGCAACGAAGATATTCTGCACGGAAAAATCGCTGATCACAAGCCTACCTTCCACATCGAGGACACCAATGTCAAAATTATCCCAAAAAATGACCAGGTTTTCCCAATTCAGTAAGTGTTTTGTCCCTTCGTCAATCTGCCCACACTTTTGCAATAGCCCAGATAGATCGAATTAAGTCACACCAATTGGTTCCTCTATGTGTGTGAGGGTTGATGTCTATACAGACCAACAGAAACATTTCACAGTGTGCAGTGCATGCGGAACCTTGCAGCAGAATTATCTAAGTTTTTTTCTGAAGGATCTTTCCGAGCAACCCGCCACTCGGATGCTTGTCAGGACGCGCCCAGACATGAAAATCACATGTGCAGAGAGTGACGCGTTCTCAAGGTCACCAGCGGTCCCACGCTTTTCTGATAGCAGGAGCGTTGGCGGAGCTCACCAAACACGGTTTAGCAACATAAGACCATTGCAGTTGGGCTGAAATTGTTCACGACAGGAACACCGCCATTACATTCTGCTTCGAGCTTATCGACAAAAATCCGCATAAAAAACGGGCAGTGTGAGAAATATGCCTTTTGACATTTCATTTTATCCGCCTTAAGGCTGCAGGTATACCCAGTCTGCAAAGTCAAATTTAAGGCAACCTGAGTGTCTGGTCCAGCAGGCTACACGGTTCACATGTCGTTCACCAGAGTCTGGCACCGTCTGCTTGTTCGCCTGACGATACTAGGGAATTCCCATTCATCAGATCACCGTCCTTTATCCGTTTTACAGTTGTCCGTGTAATCTGACTGGAAATAACGGTAGCTTAAGGGAAA